TAATAAAACTGATTGGCGCAATTTATTGGAACCTAATTTTATTAAGTATCGAATTAAAACCTCATTTGTAAATATAGTTTATGGACTCTGTGTATTTTATTCACAATGATATTGGCCTTTTTATTTTCTAAAACTAGCGCCAAATCATTAAATAATATAAAGTATAATAGATAACAACAGTGTTACAAAAGCAGGTGTCGAAGATTAATATCTTATTCACAGCTAAGTCAATCACAAAAACAATCGAATGACATAACGAATTAAGTTGCGTGCAAGCTGCATTTAGGTCGGCGGGTCGCACGCGATGCATACAATATGGGTTTTGTTATCATTCTGTGTTATTCGAAAACTAGTTAAACCTGGTCAAAATCCGATGCAGTTTCGCGTAGATATTTCGAAATATTAATTTAAATTCACTTGTGTAATAAAACTAACTATCCGCCGACAGTTACGCCCGTGGGGTCCCTAGGGATCTGTTTATTTGGAATTCGATTCATATCATTACACGGATGTAATTACAAGGACAAATTGAATAGTAAACAATAGTTACTGTGGTAACGTTTTAATTTCCTATAAAAAAAACACTCCCATTTTCATCCCTTTTTCAAATGACTAAAAGTGAATAATAAAGAATAAATTATGTTAAAGATCATAGACAAAAAGTTTGTATGTGCGACCTTACGACGAAATAAACTTTTATTTGTTGTTTTTAGTGAATATAGGCTAAATTTTCGGGATAAAATATAGGCTATGTTTACCAGTGGTTTACCACATGGGATGTAGTCCGTAGGTGAAAGAATTTTCAAAATCGATCCAGTAGTTTCGGAGCCTATTCTTTGCAAACAAACAATCTAATCATTCTTCTTTATAATATATTAGACAGATTTAATTTCGTTCACAAGAAAATACCCAAAGCTGCTAATTATTTTTTGGCCTATCATAGGCTGGTTTGGGAATTATACTGGGTACCTTCGTTATTTCAGGATTTCATGAAACAAAATCTGTCCAAGTCAGAGTCAAAATAATCTTTATTCGAATAGACTTCTTAAAAGTTTCCCTTACCACCCGTCCAGGACGTCTTTTGACTTATAAGAAGGACGAGTAAGAAACTCACCAGCTCTAATGGGAGTAACGACATTCACAAAACCATGTCATTACCAGATCAATACATTTTAAATAAAGAAAAAAAAGTATAGTCTTATAATTGAGATATAATGAGTATAGATGAAATGACCTATTTAGTTGCTGGGCCTTCTTAAATCCAAGCATTCTTATCTGTTATATAATCAGGTACCTTTTAATAAGTATTTTTTATTAGTAGATATAAACTATATGAAATCTAACTGTGGTATTTTGCTTGGGACCTTATTGTAGAAGCGCACACAAAGACCTCTGAATGAATTAGTAACTTTTGCAGTGACAGGCACCGTTAATTTATTTTTAAACAAAAAAACAAACTAATATTTTTAATAACTATCGAGAAGCAACAGTCATTATGTCTATTTCTTGAAAATTTTCCCTTAAAGAGTCCCTAAACCTAAGATTATAAATTGATCTAATAGCTCTTTTCAGAAGCACAAATCGTATGTCGGCAGCATTTCCCCACTATAAGATTCCATAGGACATCACACTTTGAAGTAAATAAAATATACTAATCTGGCAGTATATATATCAGTTAGCCTACGTATTTTCATTACGGCATATGCTGCAGAGTGCAGAGCTAAGTCTATTCGACCATTTATCAATATGTAGGCCCCACTGAAGTTTAACATCTAATGTTATCCCTAAAAATACTTTGGTATTCACAAGGCCCATATTTTAAATTGGAATCTGAGAAATGTTTAAATGTAATATTATCTAATATTTGTTTTTTAGTTTGTCTATGATAAATATTCAATATTTATTTTAGAAGTTTCTTAGATATCTGAAGTATAAATGTACTAATTTCCATCCAAACTATGAAACTAGATGTAAAGAATATAATCTCCTACAGCTGCAGATACGTAGAAACATCGCGGATATGGTTTACTTGTGTAAAATCTTAAATAATGACATAGATTCCTTCTCATTACTTGGTGAAATATTCATTAACGTTCCTAAGAAACAGCTTCGAGTTGATCGCCCTTTTCAAATACCGACATGTAATATGAATTATAGACGAAATTCCTTTTTGTGTAGAGCTGGTACATTATTGAATGACTTTGTCATCAAGCATCCCTCAATTGACATATTCAACACAAAAACTCCTACTTCCATCACAGTGTTTGAATTTGTAATTTAATTTGATTGTTTAATTATTATTTATCTACTGTAATATCATTGTTCTCCCTTTTTTCTTTCTATTATTACAAGTGAAAACTTGTAAATGGCTTATAGACGTATAGTTAACGTATAATTCTATTGTGTAATTACAGCTGTAAGATTTCCTAACTAAAATAAAAAAATATAGTTATCCAGAAATTCACCTAAAACTATATCTACAATATTTATCTACTTCTAAGAATGTACTAATCTAATGTACATAGTCAGCATTTAGGTTGGGTATTATATATTCATGGGTCAGTAGGCTAGGTGGTGTCAATAGTTGTGTTGGTTTTATTATGTAAAATGTCTTAAGGGTTGCTTTGTAAAAATATATTTTGGAGTTTTCGTACGTCGATAATGGCATTGATGTCCTAATTCTTTACAGGCGACTTTTTCTTTTAAAGAGTTATTTTATCAATGTATTTTCATGGATTCGGAATAGATATTCACAATACTGTTTTTATTTTAATAACGCTTACAAATTCACTGCTATTAATTTTGAACTGAATTGTTAATAATTAATTCAAAATTGGAGTAGACAATTTTGTATAACATGTTTTGTAAAATGTAAACATGATTTTTAAAAGTAAAAATTAACTCATAGTTCTACTTTATTCAAGTGCTCTGTCTTTTGGTTAATCAAAACAATCAAAACGTCGATCGGAACATTAAAAGCCGGAACATAACACCGATTCAGAGACTTTTGTAACCTAAATTAATAATCCTTTCTATATAATGTTACAGCGGAAACGAAACGCAAGTTGCGCAACATAAGACGAAGATAAAACAGGGGGCGAATTGCCTAATTCTAAAATCTATCACAATATCTTACATTTTGACATTTTAAAGATATTCATTTACTTCACGTGACAACATTTGACATTTGATAGTGATGAGTCGAACAGTCAATTTCACAAACGTCCATTAAGGTTTAATGACGACTTTAAGCTCTAATAAATGTCAAATTTGTATCAGTAATGGTGCTTTAAACTAATGACAATGTTAATGGAAGTTTGTGCAACTGGCTGTAAGACAAGTGTTAGACGAAAATGTCTTTGAAAGCTATTGGGAAAAGATAAACAAAAGAGTTGTATGCTAATTGCAATCTTTCGACGTATATTGATCACTAAAATCATCATTTTAAAAGAGATCGCAATTTTTAAAGTGACTTACGGTCAGTCGCGCTAAATTAGGTTTAATGACGCCTTTAATCTTTTATGTATGTCAAATTGTATAGGTAATGCCCCTTTAAACTAATGATAAATTAAAAGGACGTTTTGGCTGCTATTTCCATAAATCACTATAATCAATCAAAACATTTATTTGCTCAAATATTGTGTATATTATTAAATAGTGTAAAAAATAAAATCTAATTAAATATTGTAGCTTTGATTATCCATAAAACACTATAGGATTGCGATAGATTTTAAAATTAAATTAGCCCACAGAATTAAATTAGGCAGCCGCTGCGCGGAGATGTGAATCAAAACGGGTGTGAAATTTCAAAGCCGTAGGAAATTTCTAATCAAAACGAGAGCGGATGAGAAAACTATTGAACTCTATAGTTGATTAGAACTCTTTTTCTGATTTCGCTAGGGTTTTTTAACTATCCGTAAATCCCATCGCGTGCAGATAGAGTCCAGTTTTTAATAACTGACTAGATGGACTCGCATTTCTAAAATCTTTCCTACACAAAGTGTTTGTTACGTTGAGTGTTTTTGCTAGTTTTACTGCAACGTAATTAAAGACCAGCAGAGCGATTCTGTAGAATTCCAAATCCGAATTTGAATTCACTCATGTGTCCGTATTCGCGTAATTTAGTCAAATTCTATTTATTCCACTTTTGGTATAAAAATATAAAACAAAATTGATTGATTATAAGTGTCTCAGATATTCTATTCCTTTGTCATTTCGAAACTCACTTCACTTATGCTACGAAACGTTATTACACTACCTGAAAAAAAATGTCTCCCTACACCCGTATTCAATATCAAATTCATCGACATATATACAGGACTGTGCGGGGAATTTACTAAACGGTATGCCCGCGGGCAAGTCTACAGGCATACCCACCGGAAATCGCTACTACAGGTCTGTGTTATGACTGCGACGGTCCTGAAGACATACATACCCGCCTTGTAGTAACGAGGTCCGAGTGTATGTTAGCAGATTTGCCCGCGGACATGCCCGTCTAATAAATTTCTTGCTTTATGCAAATCGAAAAACTAATATTATGTCATGCCTGATTCAAAAAGCTGTGGTTAGAGACCCTGTACTGAGATAATTTTATATCGAAACCAGATGAGAAAACGGTTGAGCTCTATGATTAATTATATATTTATTTTCGCTTGTCTAACGATTTTGAGGCTCACAAAAATTACAAATTTTAGGATTCGGTGCCGAAGAGGAGCAACTCGCAACTACCAAGAAGTAAACTCTTAACAACAAAATACACTAAAACTACCGCCCAAAATTTGTAACGTACCAATTAATTGCGAAATCACGTGAATTTTAAAATATTCCATATATTTAATACCCAGGAGGCTACTTCAAATCTATTTAGAATATTTCAGGACATTAAGACCAGGACAAGACACATCCTGGGATAACAGGATAGTTGGCAACTCTACCAAAGAGGGATCCTATTCGTCAGTTCAGAGGGTCAGTTAATGATCCAAACAGAGACAGATGATAAATCAGAGTATAAATAAGTCACTTACCTCAACGACCTGCCTCAGGTCTTCCACGTAAACGTTCTCCGTCTGAACTATCTCCGCACAGACCCTCTCCAGCTGCGACAGTCCCGACATCTCGTCTATAACTTGTGCACCTGTGAAAGTGTCAAAACGTATTATCATCATCATCACCTTATAAATACCATGTTGAGTCATAGGCATAACTAGGGTTGCCAACTATACTCCTTAGTAGATAATTGTTGTCTATTTCATGCACGCGTACTCTATAAATCTATAACATAATGTCTATTGTGCTAGTGTCAGTCACGCATGTTCAATAAATGATATTATTTTTTATAAGTCTCTTTAAATTCTCCTTTGCAATCAAACATACTCTATTTCTTCTTATAAAAGTTGGCAACCTTTACCATAACCCACCATGCAAGCTCACTCCGGAATGATGAGTGTTTACGATGTAGATGTAGCCGAGACGAAAGGCCTAATGAGTACCTTCCGAAGCAATGAGGGGCTCGAGATACTGATTTTGGTCATTTCACAATGACTTCTTAACCTATTTTTTGTCGTAGGGTAATGCTTTGCACTCTGTGCTCCTTAAAATCATATCCTTGAAAATTATCTGTGCATCAGAGAGAGACAACGGAGATAGGTCGTTGCATAATAAATGTTCAAAAATTGCATTTCTTAAGAATCGTATTAACGTTACTAAAAAACGTTCGAATTAGTCCTATGTTCCTAGTAGCGAGTAAATTACAGGTAATCAACTGAAATACATTTCAGTGGGGGTTTTTGCACTCTGCATTTCAAAGGCCTTCTTAGACACAATTTAGAACCTAAACTTTGTCTATAGATATTAAATTAGAATCTTGGTAGGATGGAAAGTAGAAGTCTACATCGAACTGGAACAGGAGCTCAACTTGGCCAATATATAATGAAGAAGCACAGATGCATAAGTAGAAATAACCACAAATAAGGTTTAATACAAAAATATTGTACTAATAGAATAGAATATTAGTGCCTATGTAGGTAATCTAATAGTAGCCTTTTAATTATTACTTATCTATTAGTAGAAGTGCATAGTTACAAAACAAAAAGTTTTATTTAATGGAACTAATGTTTTCATTCTGAGATAAAAATATTGTATCATAAATTAAAATTTACGAACTAACCAAAAATAGTTAATCTAAAATAATTAATTAGTCGACTGTAGTTACACTCATAATGAGAGTGAATAATAAGCAAAAAAGTATTGTCTCTATTATTAATTATTTACCCTTAATTTTCATTTGAACTAAAACTTTAAAAATCGAATAATGTAAAAAAATAACTCACTCAATGTGTCCTCACAATTCCTTTCCACGGATGCACTATTGTTCATAATGCCAGCGTTGTTAACAAAATTGTTGCTGCCATTAGCTGACGTCATATCAGCATCGCTGTGGTCGTCCAAACTCTCGATCGAAGCTAAATACGCCGAATTCACGCCACCTTTATTTTGAACGCCACTACTCGACGTCGATGACGAGGAAGCAATGGAACTCATTGACAACGGACGACACACTTCGACTGCAGGTGGATTCAATCTTATCACCTCTTTTTCTGGTATCGTTAGAGTTTTTAAATTACCCGTAGACCCTATCGCGTGCGGATAAGGTCCAGTTTTTAATAACTGTTTAGATGGACTCTCATTTTTGAAATCTTTCCTATGCAAACTGTTTGTTCCGTTGACTGTCTTTGCTATTTTTGCGGGTGTCGCTTCTGGTGTAGGACTCTTAGCTTCAGGTTTAAGAGGAGAAGTTTCTTTGGATGATAATTTAATATCGAATTCTCTATCGTTAGATGATATAGAGAGCTCGATGGATTGATCGATGTATGGTAAAGAGAGGGATTCGAAGGCTGTCTTATTAAGAACAGTGGGCACATCATAAATAGCCGGCCTGTTATTAGTAGGGACATCATAAGTGGTTTGAGTGTCGTCTATTTTGAAATCAGGTTTAACTTGAGTCATTTTCGACGGAGACTGCTCATCGGTTCTATGTTTACCAAAATTCTTCACGCAAGGTTGATCGTAAATCTCAACGGACGGCAATATTTCAACACCGGATTGGGATATCTTAGATGTGGCGCCAACTAGAGGAATGTTAGATTTATGCCTTGCCGTGGATCTCCCGATGGTTATGCTTTTCTTTTGGAATTTCAGCGTCGTCGTTTCCGTCGCACTAGATATCATCCTTTTTACGTTGGGTGATAGATTATCGAACGCGGAATCGGTTTGTTTGGATTCTCTAAATGTCCTTTGCATTTTACTATCCTTAAAGAGAACTGTGTCACTGGACGTAAGATCACACTTATCTATTTCATCACTAGCACCATTTCTATCACTTTTAGTTCGTAACGAGTAAAGAGAACTTTTATTAACCATTGCTATAGGAAGTTTTACGCATTCCGTTATATCAGTGGGATCTTGAGGTGGGAGCGTGGGGACTTCTTTGCATTTCTCGTTGTCTTTTGTTACTTCTGTCATTGTTCCAGTCAACGGTGGGTCGTTTCTGGCATCTTTAGCTGTTTCTAATAATAGCTTTGGCCTCAGACTCTTCGCTGGCTCCAATAATGAATCATATATTCCAATCAGTGTTGGTGTGAGGTCTGTTGTGCTACCTGCAACGAAGTAAAGGTTTCATTATAATTTGCTACTGGAATATTCGTAGATTATTTTACTGAACGCAATAGTGGATTTTAGAGAAGAAGCCTCAAGGTATCTTATTGTTTAAACATCGGTTCTAACAATCAATTAGTATTTAACGACAATTTGATAGGCCTGCATTCTCCAATGGAAGAAACAAGCGATATTCTCGTATCGGACGTTGCTACGTTTTCTTGAGCACAAATTCACCGTGATATTATTATTATTATATAAGTTCTAGGATAATTTACTCTTATGTTGTAATAATATTATAAACAATTCGGGTATGATAGTAAAACTTCAAAAAGGTGGAAACGCAATATTTTAGGCATTAACGTTATTGCACTAATTATTATGAATGCTGTTACTTAGTAGTGTTTCAACGTACAACTAAGGGACGTGCAAAAATATAAAAGAGGTTTCTACAATTTACTTAGCACGTTACCGATTTTAAACGGTTTAATATTTTTGAGAAACGAAATATATCCTTTTTACTGTATTTGTGAAAGAGGTTTACACCAAATTTAAATGTATTGCATGTTCGGTGGGACTATTTCGCGGGGCCAATTTAAAAATAAATGAAAACAAGGTTCATCAAAAGAGAACGACAGAAAACACACAGATACAAAAATAAATATTTCGCCGAATTGATAACCTCCTTGTTTGGAATCGATAAAAAAATTAATGACCGCATTCATCGGATGGTTGACTAACGATTGTTATCTATTCATAACTTGATATCCATATTCTGTATTTAAAAATATATTTCAAACAACCTCAAATGCAATGTCACTACAGAGGTCATTACATTATGCGGAAACGTCGACTCATTGCTAAATGCCATCGAAACGTATTCAGGACACCAACCTATTATACTAAAAACTTTTTGTGTTACTGGTCTGTGGACTTTTGTTTTGGTAAATATCCATCTTTACAATTGCGAATGTTGACCAAAATATAACTATTTCAATGTAGTAATGGACTTTTTTATATTGTCTCGGGTTTGGATGTTGTGGTACCTTCCTTGTCCAAAATACTCCATTATATCTTTTATTTATTTATTTATTAGGTAACACAACAGACATTAATCAAAATATATATGAATAATAAGTAACATCTGTGAAGTACTAAATAAATAAAAAATTATTCATAATCAAATTCGCTTAAAAATCCATTTTGTCCCTTGCACTCTTGAGATGGGACCCGAACCTATGAGGGACGTAATGGTTTTTTAAGCATTTTACACTAAGAATATTTTTCAGTAAAGTATTGTGAATGCAAAATTGATCAAATACACAATTCTTTTTGAACTTTGTTTTTTTCCTATAAAATTAGAAAAAGAAAAACATATTTATCGAAAGTTTAAATATTTCTATCGGCTGTTTGGGTGAATTGACTGAACACGAAAGAGTTACAAGTGTTTGAAAAATTCTTCAGTCCTGTTAGGTCCTGGGTATCACAGAGGTTAGAGCAGTCGCCCTGATTGCGAAAGATCATGGGTTCGTGTCCCATCTCAGAGTGCCAAAGACAAAGTAGATATTTTAAACATTTTTCATTAAAACACTATTCTTAATGTTTTTTTTTAATTTAATTAATTAGCGTTTTATAAAATTAGGTAACTTCTTAATTTAACATCAAATATTTATTTTCAAATCTCGAAATTTTTGATATGATTAAAAGCTATGTCTATAACTATTACGTTTCAAAATTTTCACTATATTTATAATAAAAAAAGATTAAGGCGCCTAATTACGCCTCGAGCCTATAACATTCCCATTGTACGATAAATAACTTCCCTATAGTATAAAAAGAATCATACAAAAATTACGGTCCCATAATTCACGCAGACTCAGTGCGAATTGAAAATTTAGGTCCTTATGATTGCAGATACAAACATCTCATACACTTCTCACATTCCAAAATGATGAATGATTCTAAGATAGACCTAAATGTCGCATCTTTTTAATCATCTAGATTGATTTATACTAATTATTTTTGTTTTTTTTTTTATATTAGTAAAAAAAAGTTTTTTTTTTCTTTATTATATCTCATTGTGTAAACACCTTTAGGATATTAAAACTCTCTTATTTTCCTATTACGCCTCCTTTACCTAGGTAAAAGATTTTAAAAAATGTATTTTGGTGATATAAAGTATAATTATTTAAATATACCGCTACAATATTTTATTTCTATTTCAACAGAGTAAGTTATTTAGTAAATATTTTGGACCGTAAAGTATATTTATAAACTTATCTTACGACACAATAAATGTTCCAATGGTTCAGTTGATATTTGAATGACAATTACATCCTATAAAAATGTCCCGTAACCCAAACAGATAGAACACGATTTACATGATAATAAACGTAATAACAACTTATTTACGCCGTGTCGGTACTATATTCTAACGAGAATTAATGAATATTTAAAGCAGAATATTTAAATAATAGAATATACATGTGATGTGATGTAACAGGTATTGAGAAATGTTGATAATGCTATGTATACTTCATGGATTCGTTTTGCTTTTGACTGTCAAGAGATGGCGCTGATAATATTCTAAATTGAATTTTTAAAATTTTTAAAAAGTAAATGTCAATATTTGTTATTGATAATATGTATATTTAGCACGATAGATTTTGTATGTAATTTGTCTAAGTTGTGAAGAAAACGTAAAATTATGTTTTTAGCAAAAATGCATTACTATATTTGAATTCATTTTGATAAAAAAATACAAACATTGGAAGGGATATTTTTTTATACGAGTCCGACCCTTTGCTCACCAATGAAATTTAAAAGAAAATCAAATCAGACTTGTTATTATAATACATTCGTTATCATGGACATAGGTAGTTATGGAAAGTAGTGTACGCAGAAATATACAAACTAGTAAATAAACCTGACAGGAACGAGTGTAGTGATCCCACTCCCACCAAATGATGTTGACTAGGAATGGTTTAAATTCAGGTAAATTAGTAATTTATTTTCATTTCGATCGCTTTAAATATAATTTTCCAAACATAAGAAGGAGCAAGGAAGCGATACTCGATCATACGTCTCGGAGGAAGTAGCCCATTCATCGAGGCAAAGTTCACTAGCACAACGGAACTAATATAGAGTTGTTGAAACACTTTAAGTAGGACCGCAAACATGGAGGTAATTTTTTTATATGCATTACTGAATTAAACATAATTACACTTCTTCAAGTTTCTACTGCATTTATAAACCATAAAAGTTTGTGCCAATGCTGTTTATATCTTATAAAATAGCAAATGATTGGTTATTGCTAGCCATACATTCCAATGACTCAACATACACGTCAATGATAATATATTTACATATCTTAAAGATGCCAAGCGATACGAAAATATATATTGAGGTTAAGCTTGTATCTCAAGATACGTAATGTTATACCATTTATATTATCGTATCTTAACCGTGTGATATGTTATTTTAAGATATCTTGAGATGAAATATTTTAGCCTCTTAACCGTCTGTTATGAGCTTAAAGGTTATTACAAGGTAAAAAGGTAAAGGTTTAAAGGTAAAGAGCAATTACATCAATTTATAATCTTAGGATTAGGGACTCTTTAATGGAGAAATTTAAGGAAATAGACATAATGACTGTTGCTTCTCAATACATATACGAGAACTTAATGTACGTTCGTAAAAATATAAGTTTGTTTTCTATAAAAAGTGATGTACACAATTTTAATACAAGAAATAAAAATAAATTAACGGTGCCTGTCACTAAACTGCAAAAAGATAATAAGTCATACGATGGTATTTGTGTGCGCTTCTACAATATGGTCCCAAGCATAATAAAACAATAAGATATCATGCAGTTTAAATCAACTATTAAAAAAATACTTATTAAAAAAGCTTATTATAAGGTATTCGATTATATAACAGATAAGAATGCTTGGACTTGAGATAATCCAGCAACTGGATAGCTGATTACTTCTTAAATCATTATATATCAAAAATTATCTTGCTTCCATTATTATTAAATGATTGTGTTATCATTATAAGACCATAGTTCTTTTTTTTTCTCTCTCTTTATTTATAATGTATTGATCTGGCAATGACATGGTTTTTTAAATGTCATTACTCCTATTAGAGCTGGTGAAATTCTTGTTCGTTCTTCTTATCAACCAAAAGACGTCATGAACAAGTGGTAGGGAAAAAAATGTTGGACGATTCAAAAGTACTTTTAACAAGTCTATTTGAATAAAGATTATTTTGATTTTGACTTTGACCAATACACACATTTAAACAAAACATTTAAGCCGTTTCTGAGATTGGCGTGCACAAACTCACAGACAAACAGCCAAACCGATATCAGACAAAATTTTAAAAAATCATTGTATTGTGTTTTATTACGTTTATAAATGCTCCTCAAAATAGTTTTTTTTTTATAAATCTATTATGTACAGACATCTATCAGTTACCGTTTTTATTATAGAATAGATTAAATAACTGAGCATACATGTTCATAGATTACCTTAATGTACCAACAGATAGATTTTATTCGTATGTAAAATACTCGCCGTCTTCCCTTCTCTCCCACTCACGTCAGGAGTTTTTGTCGGACTCACAGCTCTATATAATTCCACAGTCCATGTTTAACATTGCAGAACAACTAGAGTAGATCCATAACCGTATCGGAGATACAGACAAACTGTTTGATGTTCCTGTCTCAATGTTGGATATAGAATCCAATTGAATTTTGAGAAGTTTCGAAAATATTTTAATACGATATAGATATGTTTCAGTATGAGAAGTTACTATCTAAATTTCTTTTCGATAACAGTGTTTTAAAAAAAGATTTTTTTTAAATGCATATTTTTGATTAATTTACACATATTAATATAGACGGAGAGCTTGTGGCAAATATGTGCAATTACTTACGAAAATTAGATTTTTTTGTTATGAAATAATAATTGCACCAAGTATTCCAGCATCTGACCTCCGT